CAAGGACACAGCCAAGCATGGTGACACACACCTTTAATCCCAGTACCAACCATAGAGACCTGGAGGTCTGTATAGACAAGCAGTGATGAGGAAGTGATGTGTCTGGGCTTAGAGCCAATGAGAAGACAGAATAGGAAGGCAATAAAGGCGCAGGTTAGACAGGAAGAGGCTCTCTTGGGAAGCTACTGCATGGTGGTGAGCTAAGGTTAGTTGGTGGCTCTTGCTCTGATCGGTACGGCCTGCACCCGTGTGTTTGGCTCTGTGTTTCTTATTTAATAAGGCTGTTTAGCAATTCGTCTACAGAGAGCCTGATTTGTTTGTGTACCCTGTATCATAACAAAGCAAATTTTTAGTGTGAGCAGTAACTTCTGTCTATTGAACTGAATTTCTTAAGAATCTTGTGTGAAAACTACAGTAACATATTTAAGAAAAGCAAAAGTTTTCATGTAGTCATCTTAAACTATGAGAAACATTTAAAGATTTTAAGTTAAAGATATATTGTAGTAAATCTAAGTAAACATCATATATAGCAAGTTTCTAAGGTTTAAAACATTGTTTTTTAATGAATAACAACTTTAAAAATAAAGAACATTATATAAATTGTGTACAAAAAATAAATGTTACCAGTTATAATAAAGTATTTATAGTTTAACATCCTAGAGCCTAAGAATCTTGAATCAATTAAAAGGAGATATTAACATTCTAAAAGATTCTGAAAAAGCTCAAAATCTTTTAAAAGATCAATCTTTTTCCCAATCATTTCTCTAAGGATGAAACAGTGAAACAGTACTCCAACATCAGTGTAAATTCTTAAATTTGTAATATGACCAAACACTTAAAACTAATGGGATTTGCTTGATACTCTGAAATCTTGTAAGACAAGAAAACTAATAAAAATTAGTTTTGCTTCTTAGGTCAATTTAGTTCAAGTTAGTACAGTAAGATCGATATTTATCAGCTTCATTAAATATCTTCTTAGATCTACAAAGAAATACAGCAAATGGTTCTAATTTAAAATTCTCCACAAAAGTGTGACTTCCTAAAAAGCAAGTATAAAATAAAGTATAACAAGTCATGAATTATTTCGGAAGTATACCTCTTCAAAGACAGTGAAAACTGCCAAGTTCTACACATGAAAGGGGTGAAAAAGAATCTTTAAAAGATTCAAAGAATACTTAAAAAGAGGGAATGACAGTCCAAGAGAATGAGGTCCTTACCTCTGAGCCGCCGTTTTGACACCTGGTATCTGTGCATGAGCATGATGGAAGCGTCTACCATGAACTACAGTTCCAGAACATAATGATGTAGCTTGTGTATTTTCACTGCACATTCAAAAACAAAGAACAATTTGAACAGATTAAAAAAAAAAACTGCTCACATACTGACAAAATAACCCTTTAAAATCTGAGCATGCACACATAAAAACTGTGCACTGAAATAATTTTTGAAACAAGACAAACCAAATTAACATCTAAAACTGTCTACTAGGAGACCTCCTAATATCTTTTCAAGTATTTCCAACCTTCTCAAGGGAAAAGAATAACTAGGATACTAGAGTAGAAATCCAAAGTCTAAACTTTAATTCTAACTGGAATATTACCTGCTGTTTACAGATCTTAGTTAGCTATATAGTGATAGAGAGCTTTTCTATTTCTAACTGATACTAATAGCTCAGTCCTAGGGTAACAATAGTTTACTACCATAGCCTCTAGAAAAGGAATGTTTTATCTGAAGAAGTGGAATAAATCCTAAGAGAAAAACAAGACTCTTGTTGAGATGATCTGAACCAGGAGGTATGTGAGTGTGAGTACCTATATTATACTGCTTTAGACTTCTCATGTTGTGACTCATTTTTTCCATACCTACATAAAAGAAAATGTATGACATGTCATACACTAAAATGTTTCTTGCAATACACTTTATTCAAAAATCATTACAAATAAGTCCTAATTCAAGCCTCAAAGGGGACTGAATGACAGCTCCGGTAGTAAAGCTATAGCTGTGTGAGCATGAGAACTTGAGATCAGATCCTTAGCATCTTTGTGCAAAACCTCATGGGGACCCCAACACTGCATGGTGAGGACATCTCAGGGCTCTCTGGTAAACAGTCTACCTCAAACAGCATGCTAAAGATTCAGTGAGGGACTATGTCTCAAGAAAAAAGAAAGAAAAAAAAGGTGTAGGCCAGGCATGCTAGTGCATCCCTTTAACCAGCAGCAATCAGGGAAAGAGGCAGTAGATTTGGATCTCTGAATTGGAGGCCAGTCTGATCTACATAATGAGTTCTGGGCTAGCCAAGGGCCACACAGTGACGAGGTCTCAAAAAAGAAAAAAGTTAGGAAATAGAAAACACCTAACAATGAATTCTGTCTGGCTTCTACACAGAGTGCACATGTACACGCATGCATGCATCACACACAGAAATAAATAAATAAATAAATAAATACATAAAAAATAATTTCTAAAGACTGGATCTCCTAAAGAGGTGACTCAGCAGGTAAAGGCAACTGCCACCAAGCCAAGTCCTGAGTTCAATCCCAAGACCCACGTGGTGGAAGAGAACAACTCAACTCCCTTAAGTTGTTCTCTGACCTCCACATGTGCATCATGGCACATGTATGTACATGTACACACAATAGATGGATGGATGGATGGATGGATGGATGGATGGATGGATGGATGAATAAATGTTTAAATTTTTTTAAGGATTCAGAGAATCTATGCAACGTCCTGGCCTTACTGACAAACTCAAAAGAAAGGGATTAGGAAGGACTCTGGCCAGTGTCCAACTGTGTCCTTCCCTTCTCCATAACGAAGCATCTACACATCAATCTTTGTATTTGTAGAGAATTTATTCAACTTTTACATGTACCTCAGTTTCTTATTGTTGCTTAACATGTTAAGTCCAATTGGGTTGCCTTTCAAAGTTCTAAAGCTGTCGGCTTTGTTTCGTTTTACATAAGTCTTCAAGATGAAGTCTCCAGAACTAGTAGCCACAATTTCAGATCTCTGATTTAACTGCAAAAAGATCCACAGATGTTAAGAGTCAATAAAGGACTTCGTGTGCATGGTCGGTCATCTATCAACAGCACCTGAAACTCATTCGTTAAAAACAAGTCAGCTAGGATGGCACACAGGGTGGAGGCAGCAGGATCACAATTTTAAGGCCAGCCTGGGCTACACATTCAGAAAACCAGAAGATGGCTAGGTGAGCAAAGGCACTTGCCACCAAGTCTGGAACTGGGAGTTTGATCCCCAGGAATCACAATGGTGAAAGTATAGAACTGACTGCTTCAAGTTCTCCCCGACTTCCACATGAGCGTGCGTGTACACGTGCTTGCGAGCACACCCACACCCACACAAATGTTATTTAAAAATGTAAATGTCAATAGGGCATAGTGGCCTAATTTCAGCACTCTGGAGACAATGTCAATGTGCAGGAACAGGGAACATATTGTTTTTCTTTTCATATCAATCTCCCCCAAAACACTTAGAAAAATTAATGAATCTTAGGCTAGTTTCCTCTCTGGAGAGCAAACCAACACCCCTCCCCCCAAAAAAATAGTAACAAAAACTAACATTTCCACTGCTTAACAGACCTGCTGCCATCAGTAGGGTAATACTGCAAAATATATGCCTTTGCCTCGGTATCAAAGTTCCTGCATAAACACAAACTGAGATAATGTCTTTCTGCCTTCACAGATATAAATGCTAACATAAACATACTGACAAGAAGAGCATGAGGAGAGCCCCAATATTTAACCAACCTATCTTTGGTACGGTTCACTGAATAAGGCAAAAGCTGCTTTCAGACTCGACAGTCCTCAGTTCTTCTTTCTTTTTTAAAGTGGGTATGAGTGTTTTGCCCAAATATATATATGTGTGTGTGTGTGTGTGTGTGTGTGTGTGTGTGTGTGTGTGTGTATGTGTGTGTACTGTGTAGGGCTCTGGTGTCTTAGGCTAGAAGAGAGCATTGGATCCCCTAGAACTATAATTATAGACCCTTGTGAGCACATGTGGGGGTAGGTGCTGGGAGTAGTCTTAACCACTGTGCCATCTCTCCAGCCCCAATATAAAAGAAAACTATGTATTTATTTTACTATTTTTTTACATTATTGATGTACTTATTTCATGTATGCAATTCTCTTCTTCCTCCATGTGTAGCAACTTTTACCCACAGTTTGGCCTTCCTATCTATTTTAATATCTTCTTCCTTCTCCCTCTGTTTAAGAAATACTAATTTTTTGAGACTATCATACAATGTATTTTGATCATATTTACTCCCTTTCCACACCTCCTTGAAGTGGGATTTCATACCCTTGTAGACACACAGTCTTGGTACAGAGCCCAACAGGATTACCACTCAGAAGAAGCCTCCTCAGATTCCTGTGGGATAGCAGCCATGTGCTGCCACATCCAGCTTCATTCTGTTTCTTTGGTTTTTTTTTTTTTTTTTTTTTTTAAATATTTACTTATTTATTATGTATAGTGTTCTGCCTGTATGCCTTCCTGCAGGCCAGAAGAGGGCACCAGATCTCATTAGAGATGGTTGTGAGCCACTATATAGTTGCTAGGAATTTAACTCTGGACCTCTAGAAGAGCATCTGGTGCTCTTTACCATCTCTCCAGCCCCAGCTTAATTTCTTTAAAAAACAAAACAAAACACCAAGGTCTTACTATGGAATCTAGACTGGGATGAAGTGATAAAACTGGCAATAGTCTTCATCACTAGCCCAAAGTAAATGTACATCTATTTGTTCTACAGAACTAAGACTCTTAGGTTCAAGTAAACTGGCAAAACGAACAGAGCTAACTGAGATAAAAATAATGACATTCTTTCATTTTTCTTGAGGTAGATGCTTGCCTCCAGTGTTCAAAGGCCAGGTTGGATTCCTGGCATAGCCAAAAAGCAAAACAAACAACAACAGACTCCCACAGATGTCTTCACTATGAGAGCTGCATCTGAGGTTACTTCCTGGGTGATTCTGATATATTATCATGTTAGGAATGCTATAAGCAAAGGATTTACACTAAAAACCTGCAGTAGATCAGTGGCACAGATGAAGAGACACACACTCTTGTTTGTGGACTGAGAGTTTGAAACTGCAAGTCCTCGAGCACTTCACCACTGTGCTGTCTGTCCAGGCCCTCAACCATGCTTCTCATTAAAGAACTGTGGGTTTCAAACAGTTCCTTCTGAAGGCCGATATGGTGGTACAAGTCTAAATCTCCAGAACTGGAAAGGAAGAGGTAGGAGGATGGAGTGTTCAAGGTCATACACAGCAATACTCTGTCTCAAATGAATGAATATCTGTTTTGAGAAAGCATTTGAGGGAATATCTACCAACAATCCAATGTCGTCATCAAAGCCAGAGTATATATGTAAGAAAAATTATTACATTTCTTACTTACGTTGCCTATAAGTTATTTATAAGATAAATCATTGCAGCTGGCAACAAAACAGTACTTCTAGTTTCATGATGTTATGGTTTGAATATGAATTATCCCCATAGGCTCATGTGTTTGAACCCCTGGTTCCAGGCTGTGATGCCTGAAGAGTTGAGGAGGCCCTAAACCGAATAGGTTTGGTAAAGAAAATATGTCCTCCAGGGTAGGTTTTGAGGTTTTATAATCTGCCCCCACTTCCTGCTCTCTCTGTGCAAATACAACATGATCACCGCTTCCTGACTGCCAGGCTGGCCTCACACTCCTGTAGAGTGTCTGCCCCATCTGGACTGCACCTTCTGAACTGTCAGGAAAAAGAAGCCCTTTCTCCCCAGTTCACCTTTTGTCAGGATATTAACTAATACAGGTAGGAACTATGGATCTCACGCAAACTACCATTTATTATATTGTCAATTCCCTTTAAAAAGGCTTTTACTATCTGTTACACTTAGTATTTAGTTCCAGGAAAATTAATTTATCATTTCTTTTTTAAAAAGATTTTATTTATTATCTTGGTTGGTTTGTTTGGCTGTTTTAGAGACAGGTATTCAGTGTAGCCCTGGCTGGCTTTGAACTCAGAAAGACCCTGCCTCTGCCTCCCCAATTCCGGTACTAAAGGCAAAGGTCACCATACCTGGCTTATTAATGTTTTCTTGAGGCAGGGTCTCATGCATCCCAGACTAGCCTTGAACTTCCATGTAACTGAGGATGAACTTGAATCTCTGATCCTGCTTTATGCACCACCATACCTGGTTTATATGGTGCCAAGGTTCAAACCTATGGTTTCATGTCTGCTAGGCAAGCACTTTACCACACCCCAGGCTCATAAGTACATTGTCCTATAGGAGAATCACAAAATACAAGCTTACAAGTTGTCTGCTTGTTGCACAAGTATGAACCTGTAACACACGATGCTGTACAACATGAGGAGTGGAGGCTGGATTCTCAGAACCCTCATAAGAGCCAGACAGGCATGGTGGCCACTTGAAATCCCAGCATTGGAAAGCAGACAGGATACCCAGGAAAGTGGGGCTAGCTACAAGAGCCAAATCAGCAAACTCTGGGTGAAGCAAGAAATTCTGCCTCAATAATAAAGATCAGTCACAGAAGACACTCAACTTTGGAGCACAAGCACATACGCACACCCCAACCCACGCTCCCCCCCACAGTTTTTTTTTAAATCAACATAAACACTATTTTACTATTTTAGATATCTGAAATATCTACTTCTTTTCCCCTAGAAATTTTTAATATTTATGGTCTTAGTATAATATCAAATTACTGAGGGGTGGGAAATATAGTAGTTAACAAGTATAAACTGAGCCATTTATGAAGGATTATCTCACAGGTTAGAACATTACTGTTCATAAAAACCAACAGAATATTTTTGGCTCAAGTCAGTTTCCCAAATAATACAAGCCGAAAGCTCCTGAGGATGGAGGGCGATGAGGCTTAGTTTGTAGAGTTGTTTGCTTGGCATGAGCAAAGCCCTGGAGATCCCTGGTCCTCAGGTTCACGGAGCAAACACTACCCAGTGAGCTACTCCCCAGTCCCAGAGCTGTTTTCTATGGAAGCTTACAGATGGCCTCCAAAGTTCCCAGAGAAAGACAGACAGTAAGCACACTACCAACCACATGAGGGAGCAGGGCCTGCGGTCCTACTGAGAGGTCTGCCCCCACTCCTTTTCTGCTTCCTGGTAGCCAGTGGATGAGAAGCTTCAGAAGCCATATGAAGCCGCCATGTTGTTACAGGCCCAAGCAACAACGGACAAAAACAAACATGAGCCAAAACCATTCTTCCTCTAATAAGTTATTTAGCTATTTTTTAATACCCAACTAAGACACATTTCTACAGATATAAACAAAAAATCAGAACTGTTTGTGTCTTGAGTCAGGAATGGGAGCACTAGGACTTACAATAAAGAGCATATAAACCTTTTTCTTTAAAAATGACAGCCTTATACTATAGCCCCACTGGCTTTGACCTTGTGCCAGGATTATAAGGTACAGATTATTATGTTCAGACAAATCTTTTAAATAACTTTTTTTGGATACATAACACAAAAGAAAAAATTATTTTTAGAGCAACACTTGCCTTTTTTCCTTTTGAGGTTTCAGAATCCTCATCTTCTACACTGAGTAGATTTGCCCCACTATACAGAAAATAAAGGAAAAAACCTTGAGCAACAGTTACAGTCCACACATTAATGCATCTGCTTTATTTTCACTGCTCATCTAACTGGGGGGGGGGGGATCAGCAAACTTTTCTGCAAAGCCTCAAGCAAATATACGTACTCTGTTACATCTTTGCCATGGCAACATGAAATAACCACAACATTATACAGCTGGCTGCTTTTTAACACAATTATGAACAAATCTAGGCAGTGAGCAAAAAGGATAATCCATTTACCCCTCCCTTAAATGAACATATGATCTTGTTTTTCAGGCTATATATTTTATATTTAGTTATGTTCACTACTTCCTCTTCTGTCTTGAATTGACATTTAGAGAACAGAGAAGTAATAAAAGCAGAGCACCATTAAGGGAAGGAAAATTAGCTAAGGAGACAAAAGGAATTCCAATGGAATTGGCACAATGACAGTCACACACCACCCTTGGAGACATCAACCTTTCACTTAGAGCCAATGTCCATCATGCTACTACTTTAACAGCTCACCAGCAACCTCAACATGATCAGAAAGTTGAAATCCCTGAGGAACTCAATGTTGCAAAGTGCAATCCATACATGAGATGCACACGATGGTACCTTAATAAATCATTTAAAAAAGATAACCATGGGAAACCTTCCAGAACAGAAATCAAACATATCTTTTAGACAAATCTGCTATATACAGTAAACTTCAAGCTATTTGTAATAAAAATACGTTTTGCTTCATTTCTTTTTTCTATCAACATTGTTAATACAAAAATTCTTTTCTAAAAATTGTATTAGAATGTCTGAAAGGTAAAGTATCTGTCGTAATTTCATGTCTAGTCCCATTTTTTTTTCAAAACTATATAAATACCAAATATCTAAGTTTTTTTCAAATAACCAGAAAAAAAAAAAAAGAGGATGACCACAAAACACTGACTTCGTTGAAATAAATGTACCAGTTCAAAGTTCTTTTCAAATAAAATTACCTAAAATAATGGACATGAAATTCCAAGTATTCAGCCAACATCCTTGAATGATAACGTGTGCAAAGACTTCTTTGTAAGAACCCGGGTGTCGTGAAGTACACCTGTGATCCTGCACTACAGAGGGTAAAGGAGGGCAGCTAAGTTCAAGGTCTCTCAGAGCTACACTGAGCAAAAGGCTAGCCTGGGCTATAGAGGGGAACCAGGAAAACAAAAGTTCTAAAAATATATTTATAGCTAGGTGTAGTGGCACACAACTTTAATCCCAGCACTTGGAAGGCAGAGGCAAGTGAATCTCTGTGGGTTCAAGGCCAACCTGGTCTAAAGAGTAAGTTCCACTACAGCCAAGGCTGTTATACAAAGAAACTCTGTTCAAAAAACAAAACAAAACAAAAAAAAAGGTAAATAAATAAATAAAAATATATTTATAGCTCTGCCAAAATTTTGTGTATTTGCATGGCCCCAAACTTGTTTGTTTTGGCCAGTGGAAAAGGAAGTCAGTAACCCAATAACTTAAAAATAGGATTGAGTTTGCAACATGACTATTAGTATGCAAAGGTACTACTGTAACTCTTATTAAAGGCAATGGAAGCACACTATGGAAGAGCACTCTCCTAGTTAATTCTGTACTTGGTCTATGGTATTACCAAAAAACAACACAAAACAAAACCCACACCTCTTCTGTAAAATTTCACACAGAATTGATTCCAAGGACATTAACAAAATACGACACTGCTTTTCCTTCTGTCTGGACAATGCCTATTCATACCATCTAGACTGGTGCTGCTTTCCCTTGGTAGAAATCTGATCAAAGGTGAATGTGCTGATCTTTAAATTTTCTTTAAATGGAAAACTTAATCTTTCATACAAAGTTCAGAGGCTTGATAAATTGTGGCTTTTGAAATTGTTTCCAGAAAGGCTGCCTTTTAAAAAGAGGAGGAGTCAAGATGACTTAATTCGAAAATTACCGACTAGTCATTTTTCAATCATTAGAAAACATGTATTACATATACATACATTTTAAAGACTAAGAAATATAAGCAAAATTATTTACCAATAAAATATTGCTTTATCTTTCCTTACTGTAAAAAGATACCATAATATTAAAAAACTTTCCACAAAATATAAGTTGATTTTCTACTGAAAAGTTTCATTCTTATAAAGTATGAGGGAAATATCCTTACTCTTTATCTGCATCTCCTTCACTTTCTTCTTCATGATCAAAGCTCCAATTATTTTTAAAACCTCCATCTCTCTTAGATTCTGATCTAGCCAAAGCTGAAATAAAACAAACTGAAATAAGTATTCATTAATGTTACTATATGAATATAAAAAAAATTGAGCATTCCCCAAACTCTGATTGTTCTAAATTTTTTAAAAATCTTTTTTGTTTTGTTTTGCTTTTTGTTTTTTTCAAGAGACAGGATTTCTCTGTGTAGTTTTGGTGCCTCTCCTAGATCTCATTCTGTAGACTAGGCTGGCCTCGAACTCGCAGAGATCCGAGTGCTGAGATTAAAGGCCTGCGCCACCACCACCCGGCCAATTTTTTTAATCTTGATGCTTTTTTATTTTTTAAACTATTTTTTTGTAAGCATTTTACTTCCTTCAGGAGGAAAAAAAAAACACATTAAAAGTTGGTTTTCTAATGAGACGAGTGTGTGTCTACTACAGAAACTTAAATTACTAAAACATAGTAAAATGGGGAGGAGCATGCATGTTTATATGAAATATATAAAATCAGCTTTACTCTCAATCCTTGATCATTGATTCCAGGAATTAGTCCCTCTAATTTTGTTTGCTTGCTTTACTCATGAAAACTACATCCAGACCACTAACATTTTCATAGACTCAATTACCTCTGCCTTTAACAGAAGAAAAACAAAGCAAGATCTTGTATGTTGGCAAGGTAGTTAATTTGATAACCAGAAACCTCTAGATCACCAAAGATGTTATTAGGAAATACAGAACAAAGTGGGAAGGGTGAAAGGAATGTCATTCAAAAGCTAGGATCTGACCTGGAGCCACAGACAAACTTCCCAGAGTTTGAGCTTTAAGTTCAGGGTCCTACTGTTATGAGAGGTCAGACTGACCCAAAGGGCAGGAAAAAGAAAAATGCAACTAGTGATGACCTACCCTTGGATCTGGACTTGTCACTGGGGGCAAAGCCTATCTATCTACAAGCCCTACTGAGGAGGCAGAGCTCAGGGATAGAGTGCTTGCGCACCATGCTACAGCCACTGGCTTCAACCTCCAGCACCATAAAACATAAATAAAGTGGAAATACTAAGTGTATCTTCTACGTGTATCCAACCACTGGCTGCAGCCCAGAATAGCCATGAATGCAGCCCAACACAAAATTGTAAACTTACTTAAAACATTTTTTTTTTTTTTTTGTAAAAAAGAAACTGTTACTTAATTTCATGGTTCTCAAGCATTACCTCTGTAGGTAACAATTTCAGGTTACAATGTCAAAAGGCTAGGCATCCATCTAAAAGTTTGGGTCCCTCCAAAATTCAGACTTTTTTCTTTAACTTAAGGATTTTTATTTTATTAGAGGTTTTTTTGTTTGTTTGTTTTTTGTTTTTGTTTTGTTTAAGGCAGGCAACTTGTAAATCTTGGCATTGTCCCAGAGAAGAAAAATGGAGACAAGAAGGGGGAAAAAGCTATGCTGTTTGAGTCAAGTCCGCATGTAGACAGCCACATATCAGGGAGGCGGACTTTAGAGAAAGAATAAGAAAGTATAAAATTCCAGAAAAAGCATGCTTACTCTCTGGCCAGCATCCAAAAGAAAGAGACAGAAACGAAAAAGGGAAAGTTATTCTTTCTTAAGTCAAGACTCAGAAAGGCAGGATCGGCTGTACCTCTCTTGAAGGATTGTGGGGACTGTCCCAAATTCAGATTTTTAAAATCACACCCCTAAGATAACAGTGTTAAGAGTAGGAACTTTGGGAGATACAGGGCAGAATCCATAGCAATGGGATAAATCCTATGAAAAAGACCCATGGAAGCTGGTTTTACCCGGAGGATATAGTCACAAATTGCCATCTGTGAGAAAACAAATGCTACCAGATACTGAATCTGGATACCGTGATTTCACTTCCCAGCCTCTAGCACTGAGCAATTCATCTAGAGCTGGAATGGTGGTGTCTACCAGTTATCCCAATGCTTGGGAGGTTGAAGCAGAAGGATCACAAGTTCATGGCCAGCCCAAGCTACACAAAATTTGAAGTCACCTTAGCTACATAGTAAAGACTCCACACCACCCCCTAAAAGTCAACAAATTATGTAACCTGTGAAACTTCCTAACAGCCCCCACATAGACTAAGCAGAACATTCTTAATCACAAACCCTCAATTACTAAGAGTTGAGACCAGAATTTTTACAATCTATGTGACATAGAAGCCCATATTAAAACAGCTTCCTGTTTAGTTTCCGATACCTGAGCTGACTAAGGGTCACCAGTATTTGGAAGCACTGCAACTAGACATTCACAGTATGCTGCATTCTTTAGAAGTGGGCCTGTGGCAAATCTGACTGCCTTACTGTGTGACTCCTCCTTTTAGTTATCAAGCTAACAGACTCTAGAATCCTGTGGGGGGGGATACCGTCAGCCTATGGACACATCTGTGGAGAACTGTCTTGATTGTGCTGAGCTGGGGAGGACTCACCCACTCTAGATGGCACCGTTTTGTTTTGGGGTCCTGTACTACATAAAAGTAGATAAGACAAGCTGAGCATATGCATAACCCATTCGTTTTCTCTCTGCTCTTTCCTGGATGTGACTGTGTTTCAAGTTCCTGCTTCCCTGACTTCAAGCAATATTGGACTGTAATTTTGTGAGCTAAATTAAACCTTTTTTTCCTTCTAAGCTACTTTTATCATGTTATTTCATAACAGCAACCAGAAACTAAACTGGGACACTTAGCAGAAACAAAAGAAAAGTGTAACTGGAACACCAATGCTAAAAGCCAAACTAACTTAAGAGTGCCAGTCAAAAGAGACACTTAAATATTGGACATCAGACTCCTGTTCCATACTGTTTTGTAAATGAACTACCCAAACTAAGAGGACAACATGGGAGTACTCAGTCAAGAATCAAACAATAAATGCTCCAAGTGAAAAAAACCAGAGGCTGGAGGGAAGGTTCAGTGTTTAAAAGTGCTTGCTGAACAATCCTGAGGACCAGAATTTAGATCTCAGAATCCATGTAACAAGGTGGGCATCCCTGACCTGTAACCCCAAACTCTTAAGTAGGAAGAAAGAGGATTGTTGTGACTTGTTACTCTAAAATAGCTGAGAATATTCGAACCCCAGGTTCAAGCAGAGACCTACCCCCAAAAGGAACAGGTGAACAGTGATAAAGGAGACCTCCAATACCCTTTTCAGATCTCCTCACGCACACACAGGGGCATACAGCCACATGCAGGCACATTAGAAATATATAAACATATAAGTAAGACAAAACCACAACTACAGAACTGGTTAGATATAACCTCTCAAAGGATAAAGGACACATTTTCCTTAGAAAAAATTTCAAACAATGTTCTGTACACGCCCCAAGAGAATTTCTTCAGAATATGCTAGACTTAACTCACTCCAAGAAATAAATAAAAACAAAACAAGGCCATAGAGGATTTAGAAAGGAGAGAGCCAGGTGGTAGTGGCGCACACCTTCAATACCAGCACTCTGGAGGCTGAGGCAGGCAGAGTTTGAGGCCAGCCTGGTCTACAGAACAAGTTCCAGGACAGTGGGCTACACAGAGAAACCCTGTCAGGGGATTAAAAACAAACCAACAAACAAAATGGGCAATGGAGAAATCCAACAAACACTTCTACACTCAAGTGTTGAAGGTTCCATCAATAGTGATGTCTTATTCACAGCATACAACCTTTAATACAGTATGAGACTTAAAAGCACCTCAGTTCTCTACTTTTCTGCTCTAAAACTCCTAATGCCAATTTAACCATCAAGAGCCATCAGACCAGGCCACAAATGAGACATTCTATAAAATCCCTAATCAGAACTCCTTCAAAAAGAGATTAAGCAACTGCCAGAGAACAAAGGAAGCAGACAAGGTGGCCCAGGCTGAGGCAGGAGGGGGATCACTGTGAATATGATGCCATGGAAGTCTACAAAGTCAGTTCCAAGCTAGCCATTGCTATACAGCAAGACCTGGAGAGAGAGCTACTTTGCCAGTCCCTATGTGTCCCTGTCTCCTTCTCCTCCTCTCCCATCCCTCCTCAAAAAAATGTGAAAGTATAAATCTAGAGTCCACGCTGAAAGGTGGCGGCTGGTGGCTCTAAGTGCTCATGGGAAACCTCTTGTTCTGCATGAGACAACAGCAAAGGGGCCTGAGGTGCAAAATCTCACACACCAAAATCTCCACACTGTGAAAACACAAAATTACCTGAGAGCTTGAACTCAGAGCACAGCTGAAAAGGTACCGCCCAGGGAAGTGTTTTGCTAGGGTCAGCCTGGAAAGCATCCAGAGGCTGACACAACTGTGGTCCCAGGGGGCCAGAGGCCAGCTGAAGCTGGTGACAAAACTTGGCATTGTCCATGCTCTGTTCCTGTAGTGATTTTTCAGGCATGCTTTCAAAGACTTAAGAATGAGTGGGTCATGCAGTCTACCTCCATGGTTCCAGAGAACCACAAAAGCCACACAATGTGAGGTAGGTTCAGAGTCCTCTCCCGTGTGAAGTTGTGAAAGTGAAGCCTAGGTTGTAAACTACTGTGGTTTAAATGAAAATGTCCCCCATAGGCTCATGTGTTTGAATACTTGGTTCCTAGCTCTTTGGCACTGTTTGGGAAGGTTATAGATTCTTTAGGATGTGGAAACTTGCTAGAGGAAGTGGGTCACTGGGGGCAGGTCTTGGGGGTACACTGCCAAGCTACACTTCCTGCTCTCTCAGTGCTTCCTAACTTCAGAAGCAATGTGATCAACCAGCCTCCAGATCCTGCTTCCACTATAATGAACACAATGAAATCTCCCAGACTGTAAAACAGAATAAACCCCTTTAAAGTGCTTCTTTTTCTTTCTTCTTTTTGAAGATAGCCTATGCTGCTTCAAACTTCTAGGTGGTTGTGAATCACCTTTAACTTCTGACCCTACCATCTCTACCTGCACAGTGCTGGGATTACAGATATGCAGCAATGTGCCCAGTTTATGTGGTGCTGGGAAATAGAACCCAGGGCTTCATGTATGCTAGGCAGAAACTTAAAATCCTCAAAAGTCCCTGAGTATTTACATATCAACACACTGTTATGGGTAATACTG